TGTGCTGGGTGTCTGCGGAGGGCAGTGCCGCTGTGCTGGGTGCTGCAGGACTGTCTGACCGGTGCTGCCGTCCCCTGCCTGTCCCTGCAGGAGCCGGCGTGCCGCAGTTCCAGCCCATCGCCCTGAACGGCCGGATCCAGCTGCTGGGGAACGGCTCCCTGCTGATCAAGCACGTGCTGGAGGAGGACAGCGGCTATTACCTGTGCAAGGTCAGCAACGACGTGGGAGCAGACGTCAGCAAGTCCATGTACCTCACCGTCAAAAGTAAGGCCGAGTCTCTTCTGGAACGGGGGGGCGGGGGGGAGGTGGCAGACGTGGGCAAGATGTGCCTTTTTTCTCAAAGAAACCAGAGAGTGCCAAACAGTAGCTGGTGAAGCTTCAACAGGGCCCCTTGCAGCAGCGCCCCAAGCCCTGTGCTGCCTGCTGGGCATCTAGATGCTGAGAATGTAACTTCTGTGGGTTCCTGTTGTGTTTCTCAGCTGTAAAATGGGACGGGCCTTCTTCTAAATTACAGGTGTAATTAATTCCAACTTACAGGATGATAAGTTGTCTGCTCGCTCAACTTCCTCTGGAGTGCAGCACTTCACTGGCTGCTTCAGGAATGATACCAGGACTGGGGCAGGGAAGCAGTGTATTAACTGACTGGACTGTCCCCACTCCCCTTCTCACTGTCTTCTGTGTTCTGGTTAACGTTTTAATGTGGCACTTTGAAGCTTTTGGTCAATACAGGACTTAAGTTCCATGAGAAGCCCATTTCATAGTGGACTATATTGGCTGAGTCTACCAAAAAGCAGATGAAGAAGGTGAGGAAGACTCCACAGCCGAAACGTTGTGTTTCTTTTCTTTACATTTCAGTATGGAGTGACCCTGTGCCTGTCCCTTTGTTCATCACTGTGTGTTTTAAGTAGTGTTTGCCCAGCCATGCGCTGTGGAGCTCTAGCTGGCAGAGTGTTGATTGTATGAGTGCAGGAGGAGTCTGCAGACACAGGGCAGATCTGAAACACTGTGATAAATCAGCCAAGGGAGGTTCAGCAGCAGTGAGTGCCACACTGAAGCGCATTGATCTTGTGCGTCTCACACAGGACCACTATCAGACTCTCAGCCCTGCGTTTTCCCACAGCTCAAACCCCTGGTCTGGCTCAGAATGAAGCTAGATTTCATTTTTTGTAGCTGTATTTTACCGAAAAAAGCAACTTTCCCTATGTTTTAAAATGTGGAGTGAGGAAATAGACCAGCAATAAGGAATGGTTTAATCTGAGAAGCCTTTGCAGTCATCTGTTGGTCCTGTTAAGAACGTTACACAGGTGAGAAACAAGAGGCGGCCATGTGGCCCGTCTACACTGTTCTCTAGCAGCGGATGATCAGGGTATCAGCTTCAACAACACAGCCGGACAGCCGCTTCCAGTCTCCTACAGTCCTTAATAACTTTCAGGACAGCTTCCAAAGCTCGTATCCCCCAAAACAAATCCTTGTCCAATTTTTGTCCCTCATAAAAGTACCAAAATAAAGTTCCAGAACCATTTTTAAATGAAAAACCTTTAATGTTTCTTAAAGTGGAAGATGTTCACGTCTGGAGTGAATGACTTAAGGATCGCCCTGATGGTCATGAGGACCACTGAGGGAAAGCATACAGTTGGCACAAGAGGAATTAACAGGCCTGTTCTGGAATGTGAACAAACTGTATTTATGACTCACTTACTGTATGGGTTAAAGGGGAACAGCAACACTATTTTTATATTTCATAGTTAGAAGGAATTGGCATTGATGAGTGCATTTCAAACCACAATGAAAGCGTACACAATAATGTGTAAAAAAATGTGCATCACAAGATAGACTAAATGTCCAGGTATGCGCAGTGGTGCATTCTGCTATTCAGAAAGATGCAACCAATCTTCCGGTGAATTTACTTTGTAAACAAGCCGGCTTGTGAATACATCTCTTTTAATCCAACAGAAATATTGCTTTCGACTTTGAAACAGTTTTGCCAAGAAATACTACTTACCTGTTAACTGTGCATGCAGATCACTTTGGAACACTTCTGCGGTGAAATGTCTGCTGCACAACCTGTACTTATTCGCTGGTCCATCACAGTACATCAGTCATTGCAGTGACTAGTGAGCAGGAAGGGCCGCCTCATGTCACAATCACGACATGGTGACTATATAGTACTTTCACGACTTTGTGCTTAATTCAAACTTGTAAAAATGTTACAAGTTTGATTTAATTAATAAATCAATTAATTTATTTTGTTACCAAAATGTTTTAAGTGGTCTTTGCATTGTGTGCAATGCCACCAAGTGGTTAGTGCAGTGGCCCCAGAAAGGCTCGCTTAGGGGTTTTAGAAGTGCTTTCTTGGCCTACAGACAGTGGGGTGTCCTGAAGTCCTTCAGTAAGTAACAGTGGCACTGAGACAGAGGCCAGCTGCCACCCTGCCCTGTGTTTCTGCACCACTGAGCCCTGTAAAGAGAGTGCATGGCTTTGTGAACTGTGCGTTTATTTGCTGAGCAGCAAAGACTTATCTTCCCTCCATTAAGCCTTCAACTCTTTATTCAAGCAGAGGATGCCATGTGGAAAAGTGAGCTCAGAGGTACACAAGCCAGCTCTCTCTCTTTCACTCTCATTTTGCATCCTATTAGTAACCAACAGCTCTCTTCCAAAGCATGCAGTCTCTTCGCTCCTTCGCTTCTCTGGTTATTCACAGTGTAGGCGTGGTATACACACAGCATATACTGTATATGTACAGTAATTGGTGACAAATTTCTTCAAGTCACATCTTGAGTCCAGAATATTTAAACAGTAGCAACATGTTTATCCTCTGTCCTGAGATACAACTTGTCCTAAGGGCACGGGATCAGAGGTCCCTGTCGTATCTGTGCTGATTGCTAAAAGCAGGCCAAGAGGATCTTTAGCGTTGATAATTCAGTTTAGGTTGCATGTCCAGGATGGAAAAGAGCCAAATTCACTGCAGCCAACCATCTGCAAAAGACAGGGCAAGGATGCGTCTGAGTTAAGAAGCAGGCCAGTTAATATGTGCAGTACTACCCATGGGCATAGGTGAGCTTGATATTTCTAGGGCTGATTTCTTCAGCGATTTTGTCACTTTCCAGTGGTCCATACAGTATCTTTCCTCTTTGATTTCCTGTAATATTCTTCTAGTCTTCCGAGTTTGTTGATATAAAAAAAAACATAAGACTGCTCAGGCCATACCAGCGGACGCGACACCTAGGTTTCGGAACATTCGAAAGGTTTGAATCATATAAGGTGCCTTGCAGAAGCATTCATTCTCTTTTTATGATGTCCCATAGTGGTGAAATTACAAAATAATTCACATTATTTTAAGCATAACATTTTATTCAGAACCCAAGTGCTCAGGCTGAAGATTTCCGACGGTAAGATAACAGTCGGTAAATGTCAGCAAAATCTAAAGAGAAAACCCACTTAAATATGCTGATTGCAGAGGTATTAAGTCCCAAGAACTCACTACCTGTTGGAAGCCGCAAATCTTTCTGGTGAGTCTCTTCCAGCGGTGCAACGTTTGCCCTTTCTCCACGACGGGTTTGCTCAGGGTCTCTCAGGTTGCCTTGAGTTCTCCTCCAGACAACAGTTTTCACATCTCACAGATTCTCTATTGGATTTAGGTCAGGACATTGACTGGGCCACTTGAGGACATTCACTTTCCTTGCTCTGAAGCCACTGCAGTCTAGCTCCGGCCCTATGCATGCCTTCGGCCTGATGCTGCCGCCATCATGAATGATTGTCAGGAATGTGTTGATTGTGTGGTGTTGCATTTGGACCATATGCGTTTAGATCAAAAAGTTTCATTTTGCTCTCATCTGACCAGTTTTGCATAATCAGGTGTTGTAAACTCCTGGTGGCAAATGAGGTGGATTTTTCAGCCAAGGAATCTCACGGAGACAGATGTTTGTATTCTGAAATCATGAGAACCAGTATTACTGCACACAGACACTCAACTTATTTTGTGGCTCATTAAGTGAAGTCTAAGGACCTAAATTAATCACAGAAAATGGTTTGAGTAGCTAAGCAGTCATGACTTTTCATTTTTCTTTCATATTAATTAAAGCATCTGTTAACTTTTTTTAGCTTTAAATGTGTGGAGGAAGTTATTACAATAAAATACAAAATCATCAGGATTGAGTTCTCCTTAAAATACAATATACAATATTTCAATAGAAGATTGGCACAGGAAGGTGTTTCTGCATAAAGAAGGAAAAGCAGTAAGCAAAAGGGGTAGAATAGTGCACAAAGGCTGAGACTCATGCACAGCTCTGCATATACTCATACCCACGTGTACAGTTGCAGCCATTAAATTCAAAATTAGCGACAGGGGCCGACTCTCTGTGTTCCTCTGCATTCTGGCGTCTTTGTATTCCTGCTTCTCTGCGTCTTTTTGCCTCCAACCCTTTCAACAAAGACTCCCCCTGCTCTCCTGTCTCATCGGTGGTGATCTGCCCTCTGCAGGGCTCAGTGCGAAACGGCCTGGTCTCAGTCCTTGAAAAACTGTTTCTCCAATCAGTCCACATCCCTGTCAGATCCTGTCTGGTTTAAACCCTCAGAATAGAAAATAATGTATCGTGGATACTGTAGCTTGAGGCACTGCAGCCTGGTGTAAGAGGCATTAATGAGAAACTTGAGATATATAATATATATGTCTGTACAGTTTGTGTATGAAATGCTTATGCTTTAATTATCTTTTAATTAATTGTGCCATTAAGATTTGTAAAACTAGATTAATCAGTTGGATCCATTATTATTATTATTTTTATCAATGATGCATTGCTCCAGTTTCTGCCACCTTGCCGAGCTCCTGCAGCACCTGCCCTGCCTGTCTCTTTGCTCTGGCTGTGTTCTCGTGTGGCGGAAGCTCGACGCCCTTATCCTGCCGACGCAGGGCCTCCCTGCTGAGTCCACTTCCTCTCCTGCTGGCGGAGAGGGAGGAGTCCCCACGCGGCGTCTATCGCCCCCTTCCTGATGATCACACTCCTGCTGGGGGAGAAGTGAGGAGGGGAAAATGGGATTCCGTGTCCTGTTATCCCGGGAGATTCCATCAGTCCTGCTTGCTTAAAATCAGGAAAATTGCTGGCTGCAATTTAGCGTGTTTATTGTTACTTATATATTTACTTAAGGAGCTCTTTGTGAGCGCGGTAAGAGGTTTTATTTTTCCGTGGTTAAATTATGCATGAAACAGATATAAGACCCAATCTTGCAGTGGCTTGGAAATATTAAAGCCCTGCGATACTTTCAGC